GTTGCAGGCTGGCTGGTAAGTGAGGTGGGATTTTTTGTTCGATGTTTTTGTCCTATAAGCAGGGCCCACCTAACCTCCCTGACTTGAATTGTAACTGTACAGTCTCTCTTATTTTGTAGAACATGGTGCAAAGTGTTGGTGCTATAGAAATCCTGTATAGTAATAATGTATACAGCCATTCCATTATGCATTTGCTCGGTCCCATCCAGATCAATATTTATAAGTAAAAGGAAGCTGCCCAATATAAAATGGCAGTAAGAAAAATGTGGCCCCAAAAGAAAAGTGCTACTATGTTGCAGCCAATTTTCAGCTTTCAGCGCTATCACACTTTGAATGACAATTGCGCGGTCATGCAACACTGTACCATTATGAATTTTTTAGCATTTTTTTGAGACAGATAAACTTTATTTTGGTGGTATTTATTCACCACTGGGATTTTTATTTTTTTGCTATATAAATGAAAAAGTCCAAACATTATTTAAAAGTGTTTTTCTTATAAGATTTTGCAAATAAATAATCTTTCTTCATAAATTTTGGCCAAAATGTATTCATTTATCTTTTTAGTAATTATTATTAGTTTATTATTTATGTGGGTTTTTTTTACATACTGGCACCCTAGCAGTACAGTGTCACCATAGTGACAATGTACTACTTGTGGGGGGTGATGAAGATTTATTTTTTTTTACACTGATTGCTTTTACACCCATAAAGGCTGTAAATGCAATCATTTCTCCTCTCTGGCTGCATTCCTGCAGCCATTGAGAAATACTGTGAGAGCTGTGATTGGTCACAGCTTGTCACATGGTACAAGGCTGTTGTAGCCTTGTACCATGTGACCTCTGTGATCATTCACAGATTTCACTAGTAGTAAGCAATGATGTCAGAAGTGACATCTTGCTTACTACTATTCATGTGATTACTGATTGGCCAATCAGTGATCACATGATCTGGACCTCACACAGAGGTCCCGTACAGCGATCGGTGTTCCGCTGTGTCCCGAGGTGCCGTGGGCTCCTAGGGAGCGCACACAGGCAGGGAAGCAGTGAGGACGTTTATAAACGGCCAACCTCTCCTGCACTGCTCCCGTCCGGCCCATGTACATAAACGGCCGGACGGGAGCAGTGCAGGAGTGGTTGGCCTTTATAAACGTCCTCACCGCTTCCCTGCCTGTGTGCGCTCCCTGGGAGCCCACGGCACCTCGGGACACAGCGGAACACCGATCGCTGTACGGGACCTCTGTGTGAGGTCCAGATCATGTGATCACTGATTGGCCAATCAGTAATCACATGAATAGTAGTAAGCAAGATGTCACTTCTGACATCATTGCTTACTACTAGTGAAATCTGTAAATGATCACAGAGGTCACATGGTACAAGGCTACAACATGTGACAAGCTGTGGTTAAAGTGTATCTGAACCCAAAGCCAAAAAATTGTATATATTGCAGCTTAATACTTCCTGGTGTAGTGGCTGCATATGTTTTCTTTTTGTTAAGCCTTTTTTTGCTTTATTTTCACCTGGTATTCCTGCAAATAACACACTTCCTGTGTTAGGGTGGCCATGCTCACTCATCCACTGTATATATGGAGGGAGCCATGGTTGCTGCCCTAGACTGCTCTCCTGATATGAACTACAAACATGTACATGGGGCAGGGCAATTGGTAGTTACCAGAAGATAGCTAGGAAGGAAAATATTCCTCCGTGCAGCTCACAGGAAGTGACAAGAACTTTTTGGCATGATTAACAGGTATTTTCTATTTTTGTTGAAAATGTTCTTAGCTTAAAAAGAAAAAAGAAAACAAATGCAGCCACCGTGACTAAGGGCTATAAACTGCAATATATTTCATTTTTGTGCTTGGATTATCCTTTAGAGCAATAGGGCCCTTGTTGTGTGCGTAAGTGATATCTACTGTAAAAACATCTCTGCTAATTTATCCATTAGGACAGCTTGGCAGCCAGAAGCAAGGAATGGCAGGAATAATTACACATGTACGGGATGTCACCAGCTCTGTGAGAAGTACTGACCTTGACACAAGTAGCAATTCTTATGAGCTTTGCCAGTGTCCCCGTAGACCCTCTCTTACACTGCACTGATGGAAATCAGTGTCTGGAGGAGTGTAAGGGAGAGATAGCCTTAACCTTCGCCTGTCAATGGAAAAATGAACCGACAAGGCGGCACGCTGCAATGTGACTTCGCTTTGGGCCTCTAGATGGAGGTAATAGGTTATTATATGCTCTGCTTTCTTTCTAACTGAAGATTGCATTTCCAAAGGGAGAACTTGAGAACCTGAGAGTCTGGGACAATCTCCTGTTTGCTGCCTATTCGTCAGTGTTGTCATGTTACTTCTGAGATGGGAAATAGTGACATATTATAGCACAATGTATGAAAAGAAACCCTGCCATACCTCCAGTTATATGGATCAGGAAGAATTAAAGTCTTTTTTTCTATTCTTTTCTCTTTAAAAATGTATTTTCTTTATTTCTTTTTTTTCTTGTTTAGCATTTTACATATAACTTATATAGCTTATAAATATGTATACATAACTTCTGTTTTATATAGAACTTCTTTTTTTTGTAGTTTGGGATAGAGTATAATTAAATATCAACCACCTCTTACTCTACTAAAGTTGCCCTATAACACAAACAACACCTTCCCCTGAAGGTGTATCAAACTATATGTGACTGTGTTATTAACAAATATTCCAAAACAAATTGCAATTTTATAAACACCCACTTATTATAGAATAAATCCACTACCAATCTAAAGTCCACTCTGGTTTATATGAAAATACGCAAAATGTCCCATCAAATAACTCCAACGGTGTTCAAAATTGGTCCACCTCAAAAAAAGGAAAACTTATATAGTGCATTAACCTTTAACAAATAGACTTTATCAATACTTCCTCCAGTGAAAAATAAGTGAAAAATTAGTGAAAAAAACGTGAACCACACGTGATCAGTGAAAAACCACTTCAATGTGCATAACACTATTTCAGTGCCACATCACACAAAGAACTCCAAAATAAAAGGGTGTATCCACTTCTAAATGCAGTGAGGATACCCTTACCAACTTCCTAATATAATGGGCTTTGTAGTCATCCAAGGAACACACAGACCGATCCACTCAGGAACCTCTGCTGTATCACGCAGCCACCCCACTCTCTGGATTCCTTAGACGCTTTACTCCCAGTGTCACCAAAAAAACACACAGGACATTGTGTGATACCGCCAAACAATATGTAACATACACTTTATTGAAAAACTGCTCACATTGCCAAAGCTTTAAAACCGCATTAGAGGGAATACAGAAGAAATAGGAATCTCACGGTCATCCAGGGAGACGCGTCCCGTTGCTCCTGCTCGATCTCTCCCTTATTACAAATGGCCGCCAGGTAACTTCCGGTTTCCGGGAAAAACGTCTCGACGTCACTCCACCTATGACTAAGTCGATGACGAAACGCGTCAAGGTGGAGTGACGTCGAGACGTTTTTCCCGGAAACCGGAAGTTACCTGGCGGCCATTTGTAATAAGGGAGAGATCGAGCAGGAGCAACGGGACGCGTTTCCCTGGATGACCGTGAGATTCCTATTTCTTCTGTATTCCCTCTAATGCGGTTTTAAAGCTTTGGCAATGTGAGCAGTTTTTCAATAAAGTGTATGTTACATATTGTTTGGCGGTATCACACAATGTCCTGTGTTTTTTTTTGGTGACACTGGGAGTAAAGCGTCTAAGGAATCCAGAGAGTGGGGTGGCTGCGTGATACAGCAGAGGTTCCTGAGTGGATCGGTCTGTGTGTTCCTTGGATGACTACAAAGCCCATTATATTAGGAAGTTGGTAAGGGTATCCTCACTGCATTTAGAAGTGGATACACCCTTTTATATTGGAGTTTTTGTGATGTGGCACTGAAATAGTGTTATGCACATTGAAGTGGTTTTTCACGATCACGTGTGGTTCACGTTTTTTTCACTAATTTTTCACTTATTTTTCACTGGAGGAAGTATTGATAAAGTCTATTTGTTAAAGGTTAATGCACTATATAAGTTTTCCTTTTTTTGAGGTGGACCAATTTTGAACACCGTTGGAGTTATTTGATGGGACATTTTGCGTATTTTCATATAAACCAGAGTGGACTTTAGATTGGTAGTAGTGGATTTATTCTATAATAAGTGGGTGTTTATAAAATTGCAATTTGTTTTGGAATATTTGTTAATAACACAGTCACATATAGTGGGATAGAGTATAGAAAAGTTCAAACCAGTTTTTTTTTGTGCTGTCTGTGTACCATTGTGGAGATTTCCTTTCACTTCCCATTCCAGACATGCAACAGAAGTTAAAGGAAATCTCCCAAAGTGAGGGAAATTCCTCTCTTAGGGCTAATTTAAACTAGTGTTAACCCACTGAAGAGTGATCAGAAGTGGATTACTTTAACCACTTCAATACTAGGCACTTGCATTTTTTTTTCACACAGAGATTTCTTTTGGCAATATTTAACTACTAGCCTACAGGGCACTTATACCCCCTTCCTGCCCAGGCCAATTTCCAGCTTTCAGCGCTGTCACACTTTGAATGACAATTGCGCGGTCATGCAACACTGTACCCATATGACATTTTTTTTCATTTTTGTGACAGATAGAGCTTTATTTTGGTGGTATTTAATTACCTCTGGGTTTTTTTATTTTTTCTTAAACAAACCAAAAACCACTGAAAATGTTGGAAAAAAAAGTTTTTTCTTAGTTTTTGTTATAGAATTTTGTAAATAAGTGATTTTTCTCCTTTACTGATGTGTGCTAATGAGGCTGCAGTGATGGGCACTGATAGGCTGCACTGATGGGCACTGATAGGTGGCACTGATGGGCACTGGGGAGGAGGCACTGATGGGCATTGACAGGCATCACTGATAGGCACTGAAAGGCAGGACTCATACATGGCACTGATAGGCAGCACTGATAGGTGGCACTGACTGGCACTGATAGGCGGCACTGACTGGCACGGTTAGGTGACACTAACTGGCACTGTTAGGCAGCACTGATAGGCAGCACTGACGGGCACTGATGCACACTGATAGGCGGCACTGACTGGCACTGATAGGTGGCACTGACTGGCATTCATAGGTGTCACTGACTGGCACTGATATGTGGCATTGATGTGCACTGGTAGGCACTGATATATGGCATTGATGTGGCACTGATGGGCACTGGCAGGTGGCATGGATATGCACTGACAGCTGGCATTGATGGACACTGACAGGTGGCACTGCTGGGGCTACACTGATCATCAGTGCTCTGATGATTAGTGCACATTTCCCCTCCGAGGAATGCCGATTACCGGCTCTGCTCTGCTTTCGATCTGTCAGCGTGACAGCTCGTGAGGAGAGAAATGCCGACAACTGGCATTTCCCTATTTACATGTGATCAGCTGTGATTGGACACAGCTGATCACATGACAGAGCCGACATCTTCGGCTCTTTCCATTGATCGGTGATCCGCTGTGTCCTAGGGACACAGTGCACCACAGATCGCCGCGCTGTGCGCTCCCGGAGCCGCGCATGCGCGGTTAGAATGGGACGACGTCATATGACGTCCTCCCAGAAGGAGACAACCGCCTTGCGCCCATCATTACACTATATGGCGGGGGGGGAGGCGGTTAATCACCACTGAGTTTTTTTATTTTTTGTGCTATAAACAAAAAAAGACAGAAAATTAGGGAAAAAAAAAACATATTTTTCTTCATTTATGTTATAAAATTTTGCAAATAAACAATCTTAATAACAAAAATTTAGGCAAAGTGTATTTTGCTACATTTCTTTGGTAAAAATAACCCAAATTCGTGCATATTAAGTTGGTAGGAAAGTTATAGAGTCCACAAAGACACACACACACACACACACACATATATATATATATATGAAAATCTATCAATCCTGATGTACTGATGGCCTATCTAATTTCTTGAGGTCCAAAATGCCAGGACTGTACAAATACCCACCAAATTACTGCTTTTTGGAATATAGACAGTCTGGGGTATTTAGTAAGAGGCATGGCGAGTTTTTTGAAGTTGTAATTTTTTGTGGAAAATGAAGAAATTAAAAAAATGTTTTCACAAATGTTTTTTCTTTTTTTAAATACGGTCACCATTGCAGTACAGTGTCATCATATAACTTGAGGAGGTGACCAGGGACACTGACTGGTGACAGTAGATTAAAAAAAAATTTTTTTTGTCAATTTATTAAAACATTTTTATTTTTACTCCTGTGATCAGAGAAATACAATATTACTGTACCCATATGAAATTTGTATAATTTTTTTCACACAAATATTCTTTTGGTGGAATGTTAACAGATTCTTTTGGTGGTATTTATTCACCACTGTGTTTTTATTTTTTGCTAAATAAACAAAAAAAAGACCACAAATTTTGAAAAAAACAAAACATGTTTTTCTTAATTTCTGTTATAAAAATAATCTTTAAATAAGTAATCTTTCCTCATATATTTAGGCCAATCTGTATTCTGCTACATTTCCTTGGTGAAAATAACTCAAAATCAGTGTATATTATTTAGTATGTGGGAAAATTATAGAGTCTACAAACTACGTGATATATATCTGAAAATCAGTCAATACTGATACACTGACTGCCGATCTTATTTCTTGAGGCCTGAAAATGCCAGAACAGTACAAATATCCCCCACCAAATAACTGCTTTTTGGAAAGTAGATATTCCAAGGTATTTAGTAAGAGGCATGGTGAATTTTTTGAAATTGTAGTTTTTTGTCACACTTTTTTTTGAAAATTAACCACTTGCCGCCCTGCCACTGTAGAAATACGGTGGCAGGGCGGTACTGGCAGGCAAAACCACGTTTTAAAACGTGTGTTTTGTAAACAAATAGGGGGCACGCGCGAGGCGCGCCGCCGCCCTATCTGTCCCGCCGATAACCGCCGCGGATGTCAGTAGCCGGGTCACAGCCGGTCCTTAGCGGCTGTTTCCCGGCGATAGGCGGTAAACAGTGACAGAGAGCACAGCTGCAGTAGCTGTGCTGTCTGTCACTTTCTTGTCAGCTCGAGGACGAGCTGATCCAGACAGAAGAGTTTCTCTCTCTCGATCAGCGGTGTCCCGTGCAGTACACACCCCCGCCCCCTAGTAAAACACTCCCCTTCACTCAGATAACCCTTCCCTACAAAATAAAGTTAACCCCTTCCTCCCCAGTGCCATTAGTACAGTGTCAGTGTTTTTCTTTTTGCACTGATCACTGTATTAGTGTTTTTGGGGATGTCAGTGACCCCAAGTCAGTACCCCCCAATGTCAGAATGTCCGCCGCAGTCCCGCAGTCCCGCCATAAGTCACTGGTCACTGCCATAATTCACTGATCGCCGCCATTATTAGTTTGAAAAAAAAAACTAAAAATCCCAGTATCTTTCCCGCCATTTGTAAACGCTATAACTTTCACGTAAACCAATTAATTTACACGTATTGGGTTTTTTTTTTTAGCAAAGACATGTCGCAGAATGCATTTTGGCAGAAATTTATGACTAAATTTGATTTTTGCATTTTTTTTTTTACTGGACATGTTTTATAGCAAAAAGTCCAAAATATTGTTTTTTTTTCCTCAAAATTGTCAGCCTTTTTTTTTATAGCGCAAAAAATAAAAACCGCACAGGCGATCAAATACCACCAAAAGAAAGCTCAATTTGTGGGGAAAAAAGTATGTAAATCTCATTTATGTACCGTATTGCATGACTGCGCAATTTGTCCGTTAAACTAGCGCAGCGCTGTATAGCAGAAAAATGGTATAAATTGCAGTATCTATACCATAGTTTGTAGACGCTATAACTTCCACACAAAGCAATCAATATACACTTATTGGGATTTTTTTTACCAAAAACATGTAGCAGAATACATTTTGGCCTAAATTTATTACCAACTTTGAGTTTACTATATATTTTTTATAGCTGAAAGTAAAAAATATTGTTTTTCTTCAAAATTTTTGGCCTTTTTTTGTTTATAGCGTGAAAAATAAAAAGCGCACAGGTGATCAAATTACACCGAAAGAAAGCTCTATTTGTGTGAAAAAAAGGACATACATTTCATTTGGGTGCAGCATTGCATGACCACGCAATTATCAGTTGAATTAGTGCAGCGCCGAGTAGCAAAAAGAGGCCTGGTCATTAAGGGGGGTAAATCCTCTGGAGCTCAAGTGGTTAAGGAATTTAAAAAAATGTTTTTTTTCAATTTTTTTTTTTTACATACTGTCATCAGGGAAACTGACTCATGACAGTATGTAAAAATTGATTTTTTTCAAAATGATTTTTTCCATTTCTTTTTCTGTTGTTATTAATTTTTTGTTTCCTTTTTTTTACAAACTGTGACCAGAGTGTTACCCTACCCAGTATGACACTGTACTATGGGGAGGTGATCAGGATTTTTCTATTTTTCCTTTTACACACTATGATTGCTTATAACAGTGAGTATCACTGTTATAAACAACCATTTTTTCTGAATGAACTCTATTCATTCAGTGTTTACTATTGTAAGTACTGGAAGTACAGTCCTGAAATACTATTTTAAGGTATTTACATTAAAAAAAAATTTTTTATTCAAATCGTGCTGGACAACACACGGACCATGTAATCAAAGCAACTTTAAAAAATGGGTGGAACTCCGCTTCAAGTGCTTAATATACAGCACTGCTGGTTGTCAGGTAGAAGAAAAAGAGTTAAATATGATGCAGTACAAGCTGAGCTACAAGACAGGTACCCGGTAACAGGTCCCTCTGAGATCTGGCAGCTGTGCAGGTGACTCAGGGAACAGCCACATAGAAAGCTTGCAGATCCTGAAATCTTTTCCTGAGAGCAGCCCAGGAGACCAGTCCCTGGAGGAGACAGAGAAGCTGGATAGGGATGGGAATAGCAATTCATATCAGAGCCAATTTCACTATGAAGGGTGTTCAGGTGTGCCTATGTGCTTATTAACTCTTATTATGAACCTCTAACTACAGGCAAGCTTATCATAAGGCTCACCTGTAGGTACTGGGAATGTTCTCTAAACTTGTACTGAATTGACATCACCGGTGAATGCACAGCTGCTCTGCCTTCAGGGCATACAGAGCGTGCCCATAATGCAGAAAGCACCATGCCACTAATGTGACTCCCATGCGCATGTGCAGGAGCGACTTCATCGTGGCCTGGCCAGCACGCATTACAATGCACCTTGTTTGGAATGCACGTTGACATGCATCAGGATATGTTCATGTACACCATGCCAAGTCAATGCTGACCTTAATGCATGCTTTGACTTGTGTTCTGCCTCCAGCAGAGAAATTCATTATGCCAGTCCTCCCTGCAAAAATAAATCTACTGTTTTTAGAATTCAGAAACGGTTTAAATTTTAAAAAATTATCCCTCATTTTAAGAAAAGGAAACAGGTGCATCCTGGGAGCTCAGACTCCATCTTAAGAACTGTAGGAGGAATCAACCATAATTTTCTGCAGCACATGTTGTAGACCAAACTTACATTCCCTACAGGCAGCATTGCTGGTGAACATGGACTTTTTGCATCTGCAACCTAGTTACTCCACTGTGTTTTTATATGTTTCATACATTGATTGTATGTAGTCCTTATCTGTTTTTCCCAATAGTTTACCCACCGTTTTGGTAATAAAGCTTCAAGATTACATTCAGTCTGCCTAAGGACTCATGTACACTGCAGCTCCTAAACTGACGTTCAGGAGCTGTTCAGTGTATTTTTCAGCAGCCCCTGAACTCTCCCTAATGTTTTCCTATGTGTCCATGTACACATCGTCGTTTATAGTCATTTACAGGCAGTTGAGTTTACAGTCATTTTTTTGAACGCAACAAACTTGCGTTCAGGAGTAGATTTTATCAGCGTTTCAAACGCCAAACGCTTGTAAACATGGTTAACTGCATTTAAAAGCGTTTACGTTTAGAAGCGTTTTTTAACTGCTCCATGTCCAAATGCTGTCCAGAGCCTTTTTTTCATCAGAAATGTATGCAAAGCGTTTTTCATGTATTCATATGGACCCGGTACACCAGCGCAGTCAGTTCCAGGTTTCGCGTGAAGGAAAAAATGGTAGAACGTGCCGCATTATGTTCATGATGGGATCCATAGTGAATACAACCAGAAAAGACAGGTCAGCTCAACACATACTGCTCTCTCTGCTTCTGCTTTCTCTATTTCTCTCAAAATGTCTGAAATAGTTATTTACTATTTTTCAGTGCATTCTGGGCATTTGGGCTTTTTAAAAACGCTTCTAAACGCAAATAAACGCGGTATGCAAACGCAGCTAAACTGACTTTTTTAACCTATGTTTTCCAGCAGTCAGTTTCCATCATTCAGAAAAGTTTTCCAAACGCCCCGTGTACATGAGCCCTTATTGCAGAATAGGAAGGTTTAACTGCATGTCGGGTTGCACACAGAGAAACATGTAGGGAGGAAA